TAATAATAATAATAATAATAATAATAATAATAATAATAATAATAATATAGGAATTATTATTTCCTATAATAATATAGGAAATACTCTAAATGCTCTGAGGGTCATTTGGAAAAATCCTTTCTTAGTGAGCCCTTAGAAGCCAAGAGGAACGTAGGTGCCAAATGTCAAGTTTGTAGGCTTTATGGTTCTGGAGATTTTGTGATGATGCGTGAGGGATATTTCGCTTTTATATACGTATATAGATTTTATTTTTTTATTTATTCTGAGACCATCGTAACACTAAATGGTCATTAAACGACCAGGTGTAAGTCGCAGGCTATGTAGATATTTATTAGGCTTTTATGATTATTAGATTTATGTATTATATATTTAAGTACATGAGTAATTTTTTTGACATTTTGAATTATTGTTTCTTTTTTTAAAGGCTATATACCATGCATTATTTTGAGTTGGGTTGCCCTGAACTCTCTCATGGATAAATTGCATAAAATGGGTTTAATTTAGGAATCAGATTAAATCTGTTGGATAAGTGGCATTTACCTGCCAAAAGATAGAATTGCTGGTTCAGGTTTGGTGGGAGGAATTGTATTTATTTTTTAAAATCGTGACTCATTTATTTAATGGGACAAAAAGATACCGCAGGGCACCATCTAATAAAGGTCTTTGGTTTTGTATTTTTAATTAATGAAAGTGTTTGGGAAATCAAACTGATAGAGCAAGTTCTAAGACATACTCTAAAAAAAAAATCACAATATTGTAGCTTTTCTATTTTTTTTTTTTTAAATTCACACTTCAAAATCTGGAGACTTTATTTTTAAATTAACATTTTCCACAGGTATGGCCTTCATTACATATATTTTACTGGCTGGAATGGCCCTCGGAATACAGAAAAGGTAAGGAACGTTCTTCCCGCTTCCCAGTTTTGCATCTTACGGAAAAACGGCGGAGGTTAGGGGTGAATTTGGCAATTTGGGTGCGGGATTTAAGGCTGGGCATAATATAGAATTTGGCAGGCAATGGATTACAGGTGGTCCTTGACTTACGACCACAATCGAGCCCCAAATTTCTGTGGTTAAATAAGACATTTGTTAAGTGGGTTTTAACCCCATTTGATGACCTTCCTTGCCAACGTTGTTAAGGGAATTACTCCAGTTCTTAAGTGAGTAATACGGCTGTGAAGTCAGAAAATCGCAGAAGGGGATTTCGTGACCCCGGGACACCGTCGTAACTGTGAAGCAGTTGCTGAGCGGCTGGATTTGGATCACGTGACCATGGGGATGTGGCTCCACCCCCCACCCCCGGGGGTAGGCTGCTGGGGGCTTGCAGGGTCTCAGAGAGCCCCCAATAACCTCAAAAAGACAAGCAGCCATGGAAAGCTCTTAATAGGCTTAATTGAACTTCTGGGCGTTCAGCCAAGAGCATTTCACACCTGGTAAAAGTCTTGCAAGCTAGATAAACAATCCACTCTGCACTTACAAGGGAGAACCATGGAGAAGATGGGATAACATAGCCACTAGCCTCTGACGGGATTAACTCCCAAATAATAAGAATCATATAACTCACCAGAAACCCCATTAAGATTCCAAGATCTCCCTCATAGTCACTGCTATTAAGCCGCTTCACCAGTCTTTTATTTAAGTATTAAATTAAATGCACGAAACAATAAATTGTGTGTGTGTGTATGTATATGTATGGTAATTAGGACAAAGAAGCGATGTCGATTTGGCTACACCCACCCAGTCACATGACCACACAGTCACATGACCACACAGACATGCCCACTCAGCCAGTCATTAGAGCAGAGAGCCCCTTGCTAAAAAAAATCCACCCCTACTTCCCCCTCATTTCCTTGGCTTGTCAGGCTGGGATGGTTTTCCATTGGTGACTTGGCTATATCGTTGGCATTTGCACAACCGTATTGTTGGACGCAGATGATTGTGGGTTGTCCCTTGTGGACGCTTGCCGGTTCGCTGGAAGGCAGACCATGAATTGTTCAGGCTTCCCCTTTTCTGGCAGGTTTTCCCCAGAGGTCCTTGGGATGTGCGCCAGCACGGCCTTCGTGTGGATGGTGATTGAAGTTCTTGCCCTTCTCCTGGGTCTCTACCTTGCTACGGTCCAAAGTGATTTGGGCACGTTTGATCTTCTGGCTTACTGCGGCTACAAATACGTTGGGTGAGTTGGGAGGGACCTCCCTGCTTCACGGATGAGCCTCCATTTCCCAGAAGCCCCGACAAACCCAAGTTTCCTGAATTAGACTCGGGTTTCCAACCGGCAGCGAAATTCCTGATTTAATGGACTGATTAGGAAAGAGAGTCCGTTAAATCCCCAAAGTACCTCTCAGCGGCAAGATGTTGTTGTGCCAAGAACCTCAACAGGAGGAGGACATGAATATGGCAGAAATTAACTTGATTAAATTAAAAATTAAAATTAAGCACCCCTTAAGACAGTTACTGGATACTGTCCGTTATTTCAGAGGGATTTGTCCGTTATATCAGATGTCCGGTAAATAAAAATCTTTGCTGTAATTTAATATTGGAAGAACTGCTCGTTCTTTGCTCTTGGGTGTTAGATGTTAATTCCTGCCCAATTTGTTACGATGTGTTGATGGCACACAGAAATATATACAATCTTTTGTTTTTCCCCTCCAGGATGATCCTCACTGTGGTCGGGGGCTTGGTGTTTGGCCTCAATGGTTACTACATCAGTCTGGCGTGGGCCTCCTGTTCTCTTATGTATTTCATGGTGAGTATGGCCATGTTCAGGGCGATACAAATGACTTTTGATGACTTTAAGGCCCAGTCCCTCCCTCTCTCAGCCCAACCCACCTCACAGGGTTGTTGTGCAGGGGAAGGAGGAGGAGGAAGGAAGGAAAGAAGATTAGGTAGGTAGGTCACCTTGAGTTATTTAAAAATTTAAAAAAAGCAAAGTTAAAAACAAACTTTGGTGCATGGGAATTCCATGCTCAGAGCCAACCAGGCACTGAGAGATGTAGTTGAGGAACCAGGTGCTGTGTTGACCCGGGGCGTGGCACAAAGGCAACATAGTCACACAAGTAAGAAAAGTCCCTTTAATACCTCCAACTTTGCCCCCAATGTCCAGTTACCTTCGGCTGGACCAAAAAAAACCTCTCCCAGGAACAGTCTTTAAGTGGAGGAAATTCAGTCTGAAAACGAAGTACATATAAACTGTAAATAGAAATCCACACAAACCACACTGCAACAATTAACTGGACAGGGCGGGAGAAGGAATTGCAGACTTGAAAGGCCAACAAAACACACACAGTTGGGAAGATGTCAGGAACCCAGATAAGCCTCGACAAAAGATAACTCACGATTTGCTTCCAACAAGTTGCTGTGTGCAAACTCCCATTTTAAACACTGTGTTCCCAACTATGGCTAATGAAGGTAATCAGGGCCCTTTCCTCCCCTGTAAGCCATGCAACCCACGTTGCTCCCTTCTCCGTTCCTCCCTGCGTGCCATAGGATGAAGAGGCGGGGTGGGCCTGGGTCTTCCTCTGAATTCCCTCTCCCTTGTTCCACCTCTCCCCTGCTCTGCCCAGCCGGACTTTGCCCTTCCCCAGTTTCCTCCACAGCCAACGCTCCCTGTGTCAGCTGCTCGGCCTCCCCCTCCGAATCAGATTCCGACGGGCATGACAGGTGGTCATTTGAACGTGCTTCCCATGTCTGTCTGTGCCCTCCCAGGTTCGCTCTTTACGGATGAAGATCCTGACTTCCGTGGTGCAAGATGGACTGAGCCGGACCACCGGCCGGGCGCAGATGTACATCACACTAGGCGCCGCTGCCTTCCAGCCGTTAGTTTTGTACTGGTTGACGGCCCAGTTGGTGCATTAAACGGAGGAGATGAGACTTTGGGGGCGGCGCAATTCCTCCCTTTTTTTTTTTTTTTTTCCTGTTTTGGTTCACATCCCCTCCTCCCAAATTTCACCACTTCCCCTAGTTCTGTCTCTGCCCCCCCCCCCCCCCCAAATTCCAGTGTGGGAGGGGGTTCTCCACGGAGAAGGACAAGTGGGGATCTGTCCCCTTTTTGGAAGAATGAAGTGAAAGGCAGCGGGTCCATTCGCACTCGGGACTCCCTCCCAGGAGCAGCGGAGGCAGGCCAGCTGTCCGAGTTGACTGCTTGTCCACAACTCCGAAAATCTGTAGATTTGCGGTCTTACTGGTATCTTACTGGGTAGATTCGGGGTCCTACTGGTAGAGGCAGTTCTGCTGTTGGGGATTTTACTTGAGTTGGATGAATTTGGATCCTTCCTCGCGCAAAATTTACAGGTTTTCTATTCCTGTGGTGTATCTAGAACGGTGTTTCTTGGTTGCTTGGGGTGGACTTCCAACTCCCAGGTATTCCCCTGCCAACTATCGAAGATGGATGGACTTCAAGTCCCAGCATCCCCTGCCGGCTGAGGAATTCCGGGAGTCGTAATCCACCCATCATCGAAGCGGCTTAAGGTTGAGAAGCATCGATCTAGAAAACGTCCAGTTATTTTTCAACCTTGGTTGCTTGTGAGATGGATGGGCTTCAACTCCCAGAATTCCATGCTGGCTGGGGAATTCTGGGATTTGAAGTCCAGCTACTTTCCAAACAGACCAGGATTAAGATGCACCGATCTATAAAAATCCAGTTTTTCTCCATCTTGGCTGCTTTGCAGGCGGATGGACTTCAACTCCCAGAATTGCCCAGCCAGCCTGCTTGAAGATGGCTGAACTCCCAAGTCCCGGCATCCCCTGCTGGCTGAGGAATTCTGGGAGTCGTAGTCCAACCATCTTCCATAATTGGAAAAGTCCCAGTCTAGAACAAATCCAGTTTGGTTCCGTGTTTCCGGGAAGCAACAAAGATGGATAGGTAGACGGGAGGGAAAAAAAATATTTTAAAATTTGAAGTGTTAAAAAAAAAAAAAAAGAGTTTTGAGTCTGACTCTCCTGTGAGAAAGAGGAAGAGAATCCGTTTTTGGTTTCCTTACAATCACTTCCGTGAGAGATGTTTGGTTTTCTTGCAAGCATGATAAAAAGTATAAAACTCTGCGACGGGCAGAACCAAATTTGTGAAGGTGTGTTCTGTATGTATTTTCTTTTTAAGATCATTTCCTCCGCAGTGGCTGAATTTTATTCCCCCCCCAGCGTTCCCCAAACAGGATTCCAGTTTTTCCCACGTTTGATCACCCCGGGAAAGGATCTGAGTTCAGGTCATCCGTGATTTAAAACGGCCACAATTGAACTCCAGATTTCTGTTGTGGAAGCGAGACGTGCGTGAAGTGAGTTTGGACCCATGTTACAACCTTTCTTGCATGATGGGCTTAACGACCGCAGCGAAAAGGGGTGAAGTCGAGCGTGATTCATTGAACGACCGCAGTGCCTTGGCCACAACAGTGCCTTTCCCAACCACAGTCGTTAAGTTAAGGACTTCCTATAATCCTTTCGAAGGTTTGAGGAATACAGCTCTCTCCTCATCCCGTCCCCCTGGTGCCAGGATGATGGGATCTGTAGTCCAAAAGCAGCAGAAGGAAACTGGATAGGCACTTAATCAGAAATAGTACAGGTGTCCTGTGAGAGCGGGGGGATGGACTTGATGACCTCCAAGGCCCCTTCCAATTCTGTTAACTATTATAGGCCGAGATTATTAGTAGGCGGCTCATTGGCAGCAGAGGGCAGCAACCCTTACAAATTAAAAAATAAAGTAAAAATAAACCAAGCTGAATTGCAGATTTGAGACTTCACGGTATTTGTCTAAAGGGAGGAAGCCTTTTTCTTCGTGGACGTTAATTGTAATAAAATTTTCACAGAAAATTGAAAATTTAAGATTGCTCCCGCCACCTGCTCAAGCTCCAAAAAGAGGTAGAGGAAGAGGTGGCGGATAAAAGAAAAATTAATTTCATTTTTTGCGAGCTAGGTGGCAACCTCCACAGGCATTTTAACCAACATCTGCAAAAAAACACGGGGGGAATACAAAGGAAAGCCGGGTAAAAGAATAGAAATAATAGAATAGAAGAATAGAATAGAATAGAAAATAGGATAGGATAGAATAAAGAAAATAGAATATAAAATATAAAATGGATAGGATAGAAGAATAGAATAAATGAATAGAATAGAAAATAGAATATAAAATGAATAGATAAAAGAATATAGAAAATAGAATGTAAAATATGTAGAATAGATAAAAATAGAATATAGAAAATATAAAATACATAGAATAGATAAAAGAATTAGAAAATAGAATGTAAAATATGTAGAATAGATAAAATATAGAAAATATAAAATATATAGAATTGATAAAAGAATATAGAAAATAGAATGTAAAATATGTAGAATAGATAA